TGTGTTTCAGTTCTGTCAGTTCCTTTCTTTGTTTTCTCTGTAGCTCATAAGTGAAATGATCCATTATTTATCTTTCTCCTGACTTACTTCACTTAGCATAATCCCCTCCAGATCCATTCATGTTCTTGCAAATAGCCAAGAGATCTTTTTTTTTTTTTTTTCAAATATAACTGATTATCTACCATCATAAGCCACTGCTCTGTCATTGGGCATTGTGATTGTTTCTATACCTGTATCATTTTTAAAATAAATGAAATCAATATCCATTTATTTTATGAAATAAACCTCCAATGAAAAGCAGCTATACTTGCTCAGTCAATTCACCCCCAGAGCAACGACTTTTAGCTCTTCTAGTTGATTCTTCTGATATTTACCTCCATATTTCCAATATGCACAGTGTTTGTCCTTACATCAATTTTAGCAATTATCTATTCATTTTCTGTTAACAGGGACTTGTAGGTTCAGCTCTCTGACACTATCCTTTTCCACTTCCTCTCCTATCACCTCCATACTGGTAAGTTATTTTTGGAAATGCAATAGAGCAGCTCTTTCTGCCTGCTTGGGTCCATGCAAGCTCTTCTTCCTTCCTTTGCCTAATAAACCAGTTCTTTTAAAACACAAGAAATTAAAAGGCAGTATTTTAAAAATTATGACTACATATGTTGCTTTTAAGCTAGGTATACTATAGTAACATATCCTTTGTTGCACTAAATTTTGCTTTTCCTAGAGTAAAACTTTAATAATTGTCTCATATATTACTTAATAGTTTTTTTATGTACCTGGTGAAGTTTCCTTATTCTGCAACATTTATAAAATATATCTAAATAATTTGAATATTCAAGCACATTAAGCAGACCATTTCCATTTTTGCCCTCTCTCCACCTCATCTCCCTCCCACACATCTCTAACCTTACTCTTGTCTAGACTCACTCTTCTCTGGGCTATGTTCAGCTGTGTTTGCTCAGCTGTGTTCTAAAGCTTCCTTTTTCTGCAATTCTCTGTGAAGCTCCTGCTCCTTAGATCCCATGTATTCTTTTTTGGCTTATGCCCTCTTTTCGGTAAAACTCATTTATCAGTAGTTTTCTAAAATGAGATGCATGGGAGTAAAGTTGCTTTTCTTTCCTCTGCCTCTGTCTGAAATGTTTTTATTCTAGTCTCATATTTGGTTGATTGGGCATATATATTCTATGCTCACATTTGACTAGCAGGGTTTATTGGCTGTGTTAAATGCTAATAAAAAAGTTACCATCAACATTTGCATCAGATTGCTTTGTTATTTTTTAGTATTCTTTTAGAAAGTCTGGCATCATTTGTTTTTTTCTACATGACAAATTATTCTTTTTGATGTTCTCATTATCCCTGATATTCAGTTGCTTTGTGATGACTTGAATAACCTGGGCCCTCTGGTTTGGTCTATCTGTAGATTCTGGTAAATAGTCTTGTATTCATTGTTTAGTTACTTCCACTCTTTTGTTCTTTTCTGTCTTTCTGGAATTCCTATTTAGTTAGCTGAAGTAAGGACTGCCATATGGGTGGGAATGAAAAAAAGACCTGTAGAATCTAGAACAGGATATGACACAATCTATTCCAGTTATAAAAGTATTTAAGACCTGACATTTCTGGAAGTGAGGTGAGCAGACTCCAGACTGGATTTCCAGGAATAACTTCAAGAAAGTGACCACATGGAGCTGGGTGGGTGGAGGCAGCAGCTGCCACCTCTGCCATAATAAGGAAAGAGGGAAATTAGAAGTCTCTAAATGAAGCTAGTCAATAGAATCTACTACCATAGCAGTAACTCAAATATGGAGTCATGGATGTCACTATTGCTGTGCCTCTTGACTCCACAAGACTAGTGACTAGACACTCGAGTATTTGTAGATGAGTCCAAAGGTTCTACATATATGGCAGCCAGCCAGGAAAACTACCACAGGATGATGGCCCTGTTTCACATTCTCTTTCATATATCAAATACATATAACTGGCAGAAATTAACATGCACTTGAACCTTCACTAGAAATGTAGTTTTTGGCATTCTTAACAACAAAGAACAACAAAACTCCCCAGAAATTTAGTGCAGAAGGGCCTTGTCCCTACAACCAACCCACATACATGTGCAGAAGGGCAGGGCAGTGTTCTGCATGGCAGCCAATGCATCTACAAGAGGGATCAGGTGCTGCCACACTGATAAACATGACTGGGGGGGTCAGGATTAATTAGTTGGGGGAAAGCATTAAGGTCTAATGAGTAAACTTTTTTTTTATGAATAGAGAAGAGAGTTATGTGTTTGCAGAGAAAGGCAAAGCTCATTACTGTCAGCATTAACTACATACAACTGAAATAAAAAGGTTTGGGTTATTTTACCCTATTCAAACTTGGTATACAGGAATGGACAATGGTAGAATTCTGATTCATATAATCAAAGGTTTAGATTTGAGAGGAGTCACCCAATGAGAAATCTTAACATTTCTAATCAGCAGAATGAAAATGAGAGGATAACTATCAAAACAAAATTGTATGTAAGCTATTTAAAAAATAATGCATCGATCTGAGTCACTGTCAGGGATGAGACAAAGTATGAAGCTCTTCAGGTAAACCAAATCCTTTAATGTTGTAGATTCCGATGTAAATAGTGATTTCCTTATATTAAGAGGTATAAAGTATTTTTTTTAAGATTTATTTATTTATGCATACAGAACTGGGGTACAGACCAGCGGTGGAGGGGCAGTGAGAGGATTCACCAGAGATATAGTGGGGAGCAGAACAGGCAGATCAACGAGGTACACTGCTGAGGGGAGCAGCAGGTGGGTCAGGAGAGGTCTGCCGTGCCATGTGGGTCACCTCCGGGGCAGGGGATTGAACTCATGCTGATTGGCTTTAACTTCTTAGTGTTGTGCTTTAACCTGCTGCACCACCAGGAAGGGCTCAGAAGTATAAAGTATTTTAAGGTAACTGTTACAGTTAACAACTCATAACATGTTTAAAATACAGATTTTTCCAAAGAAGCTACTTAAAGACAATCTTATAAAGACACTTGCCTAGTTTTTCCTTGTGCATGTTTTCAATATTCTTTCAAGTTTCTAAAACTTTATTTTCACCTGCATCAATGAAAAGTTCCCTTCTCAGTCTTTCCACGGTTGCTTCTACTAGTAACAGCTAATTAGGAATACTTCAGATTTCAAGACTTCAGACAAGATTCTACCTCCTAAATCCAAGAAATACAAGGTCAAAATACATTAAAATGCAATGCATTTTAGAAGAATATAGGTTGTAACAGAATTTTTAGCAACTGTCAAATAATTTTCCTATTCACCCTTCAAAGTTATTTAAAAAACAATTACAAATTACAGGGAGAATGTCCAATATAATGGAAGCATTCTTCAAATGAGAAGAGACATTTAATGTTTAATGGATTATTTAAGTCTTATTTTTATACATATGTATTTTTTTTAAAGATTTATTTATTTATTCATACAGAACTGGGGTACAGGCCAGAGATGCGGAGGGTGAGAGGATTCACCAGAGACAGAGTGGGGAACAGAACAGGCAGATTAATGAAGTACACTGCTGAGGGGAGCAGCGGGCGGGCCAGGAGAGGTCTGCCTCGCCATGTGGATCTCCTCCAGGGCAGGCGGGAATCGAACTCATGCGGAAGTGGCTTAAGCTTCTTAGTGCTGTGCTTTAACCCGCTGCGCCACCAGGGAGGGCCCTCTACATATGTATTTTATACTTCTAAATTGTATACCCCAATGAAACTGATTCTCCACTAGTTTTTCCACATGATGGTGGAGAACAGTACTATTCTCTAAAATCTCTTGAACACTGTCTCTACATCTTCCCCAGCATGAAGCTTGTATTGCCCACACTTTGGTAAAAGTCACCTTCCAATATTAACTAGTGTAGACATTTGACTATTGTCCACCACATAGGGCAATGATATAGAAATAGATGAGTTGTAAGGAAGTTATTGGCATTTCATTTTGCCATTGTGGTCAACAGCAGCCTCAGGGGTTCTACAGCTGACGACTCATCTCCAGTCACTGCTGTGCTACAGTTCTGTGACTTGGTCTTGGAGGCACAATCTGTTCTGATAATACTTTTACAAAGTCTATATTTAGTACCTCTCTTCCTACTTGAATCAACTTGACAGTGCTTGAAAATGTGGTCCAAAGACCCATAGCTAACACTTACCAGGAGGTATGTGTTATCAGATGTTTCAAGTGGTTTTCACATATTTTGCTCATTTAACCTTTTCAACTATCCTATGAGGTAAGAGTAGCATTATCTCTAATTTATATACAAGGAGGCACTGACAAGTTAAATAATTCACCCAAAGTCACATAGGTAGTAACTAGTAAAGTGTGGATTTGAATTCAAGTAACCTGTTTTCAAGTAAAGGATTTTCTGTTGGCATTCTCGAACTATAACGCACCACTTAACTCACATCTAAAAAGCCATTATTGGGTCTCCCTGTGGCACAGGGGTTAAAGTCCCAGTACTATCAAGTTACTGCCACCCAATGCAACATAAGTTTGATCCCCAACCAGAGAGCTGACCTACATGGAGCAGCACACTTTTCCTGTCTTCACCAGCTGCTCCCCTCAGCAGTGTATTTCAGTAGATCTGCCTGTTCTGCTCCCCACTCTGTCTCTAATGAATCCTCTCTTACTTCCCATACCTCTGCCCTACACCCAGTTCTTATATGCATTAAAAAAAACTTAAAAAATAAAGTCATTACCTAAAACATGGCAATACAATCATTTAAAAAACAATATTTTATTTACACATGCATTTTATAAACAACTGATTAATTTAAATAGAAACATGGTAAAGTTTAGTTAAAGCCTTAAGCTTTAATGGTCACATAAATGCCCCCCCAATACATTAAAATTAAAATATGTGCTAATAAAGAAACATTTTCCCTTTTCTAATTTATAGCAGCATACTGTCTTCCAAAATCATATATATATATATATATATATATATATTTAAACACACTATAGGAATTGGGTGATCTAAAGGATATAAGAAAGAAGATAATCAGAAATAATTCGGATTCAGAAAAAGATAATGAGGTTAAAGAACAGGCAGCTCAAAAATCAATACAGCGTCCTTTTCGTTCCCAATCTCCATATCGGGTAGGTTCTGGGCCCCTGGGTCCACCTTTTTCTTTGGTAACAGGATTAACATCATGTGGAAATTCTAAGGGAAGAAGAAAAAAAGCAGTCAATAGACATTAGGGAAAAGATTAATTTTGATTGTGAAGGGTCACTTCTGAAGAGAGGGCTGCAAATTGGCACAGTTAATAAGCTAAATACAACTGATTAGGTTATTATTCAGTCATTAAATGAACCGTAAATGTGGTTCTTTTTCCAGAGGTTAAGAAATCATTATAAGACAAGATTTTCATATTGAATCAACTTTATTATCTGCATTAGTGACCTAAAATTCCTGGAGTACTCTCAGGTCCCAATCTGGAAAGCATTGCTTGTAAGCTGGTAGGTTAATGTAGAAGGAAAGGGGCACAGAAAATATGGAGTATAAATTCATAGCAACTGCCATCCCATTTCTTATCAGTAAAATGGGAACAACAAATACCAACCTTACTTGTCTTCAAGGTTAAAAAGGTAATGTAGCTTTCACTACCTGAATACAGGGATTTAGGTGCATTTAAGGTTCTATTTCACTCTAAAACTTCCAATAAAATGGAGGCAGGCAAAACTGATGGAGGTATAATGAATGTTAATTTTGTTTTTCAAGAGATGCTAAAGGTCAACCACATCCATGATGTAGAATTCCTGAAAGTCCTAGACAAACACTAAGTCCATCTTTGTCTAATCATAAGACTGTGATTAGTCTATGTATGTCAACTTGGAGGAAATCCTTCATGCTGAACACCAGATCAATCTAATTAATTAAGGTTGATGACAAGAAACTAGAAAAATGGGTAGACCTTTGTAAAACTGACCAAATAGGGAACCATATAAAGTATGCTTGATGTTTGTTGCACTTGTGTGGCAGCTTAGGACTATGGCCAAGGATGTCATTGAAGAATACTTCAAATGCAGGAAAAGAGTGAAAAGAGTGAAAACAACAAAGAAACTCTGCACAAAAAAAAAAAATTACAAGCCAATGCATGGAAATGGTCTAGCACAGTGCTAGTTACATAAGAAAGCTGGATTAATTTTAGCTATTAATGTTTTCTTCCTCATTATAGGGTTCTGGCTTTAGCAACTGGTTAGCCAGCACTGCCAATAATAGATATAATCTCAGTTATTATTAGTATTATATATTCATATAGAAATATCCATCAAGAGTCAAGTCTAATTCTGAGTAATGTATATACATATACGATTTATCCTCATAATAACCCAATCACAGAATTAAGGGCTTTATCTATCTTTACTGTGAATAAACTTTCCTGTACTTCATCATCATTCTGTTTTCTAAAGAACTGCTTGTATTGATTTCTTCTAAAAGACTCTCCAATAGAAGTTCTTATTTCCCCGTATCTCTGGGGCTCACTCTGTCTCAGTCATTTTGGGCTGCCATAACAAAGGTTCATAGACTGGGTGTTTAAACAAGAGAAATTTATTTTCTCACAGTTCTGTCAGCTGGAAGTCTATGATCAGAGTGCCAGCAACAGTGAGTTCTGGTGAAGGCCCTCTAACTGACTCGTAAAGATGGCCTCTTCTTGCTATGTACTCACATGGCAGAAAAAGCAACAAACATCAAGCTCTCTGTTGTCTCTTCATAAAAACACATTAATTTCATCATGGTTTCCCACCCTCAAGACCTCATTTAAACCCCTTTATCTTTCAAAGGTTCTATCACACTGGGAGTTAAGGTGTCAACATGCTATTTTAGGGGACACAAGTCAATTCACAGCACAAAGGACAAAAAGGGTCAAGGTATCCCTGCTCCTTTGCTGCTACTTCTAGTCTTCCATTCTACCACCAATTTTTTTTTGCAGCATTTCTTCCTTTGAATCCATGCAATTCACCTGTCCAATGTTTTCCCGTCTTATAATAAATGCAGACATATCTTTTTGGATGAAGTCAATACTTTATAAGTACAACACTCTCTCCCATCAACCTTAGTATCAGTAGCACATTAATGAATTATATATTGGGGCCACCGAGGTCCTCAATACTCTTATCTGGTAATCTTCATCTCCACTTCTGTCATTTACTTGTATATTATTATCTCTTGAATATGTTTTTTCCAAATCCCACAGACTTCAGCTCTTTTCTTTCAAAATCTTTTACCCTTTAATCTCCCTTCTTCATGTTTGTTTAACTTGATTTTACTCTCAAAACCTACAGCTTGCTGAAACATTTCATTCTAACCAGCACTACACTGGTTCACGCTCTATCCCATCTTACAGGAAAACAGGTTTTCTAATTCTTCTGATTCTTGCCTCTTGAGGCTCCAGCCGAAGCTGCACAGAAGGCTGAAATAATCTTTCTAAAAAATGAATCCCTCCTCCATTTTACACTAAATGAAAAAGGCAGACACAAAAGACTACATATCACATGATTTCATGTATATAAAATCCTGAAAGCGGCAAAATTATAATTATAGGAAAGAGATCAATGGTTGTAGGATGATGGGGAAGCTAGATTAAGATAAATAGGCAGAAGGGTCTTTATGGGAGGGATGAACTTTTTACTTTGTGTGGTTGCATGACTGGAAACATTTATTAAAATTTACTAGAATGTTTACTTAAAATAGATGAGTTTCACTATACGAAAAATTTTTAGGAAAGCTGACTGAAACAATCTTCATTCACATTTTAGTGCTTTTTCCACTGTCCATTTTATAAAGCCACACAGACGTAGCACTTCAGGCCTTTCTAGATTGGAATCAAATCTACCTTTCTGGTCTTTTATTTTATTAATCCTCACTTAATGTTGTGGCTTAGAGGCTTAATAGCTATCTTCCAGTCATGCTCTTTCTTTTTTTTACCACAGTTCTCTTTTTGAAATGTTTCCCACCATTCTTTATCACAATTCTACCTTTTCTTTAAACCCCAGCTCAAATGTTACCTCTTTTGTCTATCTTTCTCTGGTCCTTTTCTGCATATCTCTCATGCCAATAACCACATGATGTCCTGGTCAGGGTGATTTATGTATCTTAATTATGCCTTTTTTTTTCTTATTCATTTTTGCATCAAACAGGGTATCTAGCTTAATTAATTAATCTAGCTTAATTCTTTGATTATCTAATAATGAAATCAACTGTCTACAAAGGGGCAACCTATAAATTTTTAGAATGGTCACTCCTATTGAAAGACCATACTTTTCTCACTATATTGTCTTGGCATTCCTATTAAAAATCAAATGAACTTGCTGTATGCCTGGGTTTACTTCTGGGATTGTTTTTGTGAGAGATGTTTTTTCAAAATTACCTTCCTATACACAAAATAATTCCTCCTTGACTTGATATTGACTTTAATGCAATTCATGCAAGATGATTCAGTCATAATATTTTGTTTTACTATTAAATAATTCAAAGAGCACACATCTTTTCTTTTTTATGTATATTTTCAGAAGGAGTATTATCTATAAAGACTTTTTCTCCCATTTAAAATAATTTTTTTTTGTTAAAGTAACATTGTACTGTAACATTGTACTGTAACATTATGTAACTTTCAGGTGTGCATCATTATAAATCAACATCTGTATATACTACATTGTGTGTTTTTGTTTTTCTATTTTTAAAAGCAATCTACTTTTTAAATTTTTTAAATTTTAATATAATAGTTTATTTTTACATTGTTTGTGCATTTTTCCATCTCAATAATCCCCGTGGGCTTCCCATCACTGATCCCATTTACCACTCCACCCCCAATGAGTGAAACCATCTGATATTCTTCTTTTTCTTTCTGGCTTATTTCATTAGGCATGATCCCTTCCAGCTCCAACCATGTTACTGCAAAAGGCATGTGTTTATCTTTTTTGATCATTGAGTAATATTCCATGTCACTGCGTGATGATTTAAGGAAATATTTTCTCTTAGATTTTTGTACTTTGTTAAAGCCACCTTAGAAAAATTTATCTTTAGATGAAACTTTTAAAAAGTCTTCCTCTTCATGGATGATTGAACTCTTCATAGTTGATTATCAGATTAGATGGAGTAAAGTCCTATAAATGAAAATGTTTAATTGAGCAAAAAAACAAAAGCTTTTTATATTTTAGAAAGAGTTCCAGTACAGGTCTCTATATCCTCTACTGATATCTTCTTACCTAGGATTAATAGTTAATTCTCATATGCATGGACATTCAGGGCAGTCTTACAAGGTCTCAAAGTGGTATGTTTTTTACACTTATGCCATCTAAAATTGTATTTTTGAATAGCTAACACTTATACATGTTCCATAAAGCAAAAGTAAAGAGTTTAAAGTGAAAAATTAGTACTGTATGACATCGCCAAATTTTATACATACTGAATACAAAATATTTAGTTTTTCACCCCACCTCAATCAACAAACCTCTTTATTCTCTGATCTTTCCTTTCTTTTCCCCTAAAGATGTAGTTACAGTGAGAATAATCACCTTCATATGTGATCCACTCACTGGCCTCTTTGATAAGACTCCACTGTGGACACCTGATCCAAGATTGGTCAAGGAGATTTCTTTTAAGGAATCTGGAATTAACACTAAGAAATTTTTAGTCTGACTGTTCTCTTAAAGTGCTAGAATAGTTACTTTTTTGCACAATGGGCTGAGAAAGCAATTTGGAGACAAAAAAAAAAAAACAACAATGGGGCATTGATTGGAAAAAAACAAAAGGCATTCTGATTTTCATAGGATGTAGACCCAGTCTTTTCCCAAAGCCAAGAAGTATCACTGTCCTGGGATACCTCACTGGTATCTTGTAACCTAACAACCCTACTTTCTGCCTCAGTTTACTCAAATGGGCTTCTATTTTTTTAATCAAAGCAAGAATCAATCCACATTTCTTGTCATGTGAACAATGGAGCATAAAAAAACGAAACAAACACAATCGATTACTGGCAGTGGCTTGGAAATCTTTTTTTAAACCCACACATACTGACAGTCAATATAATAATTTTACGCACCGCTGAAGTATGCTTTATTCTGATTAATAAAATAACTATACCCAATAAAAGGTTTATTTTGCTTTTTTTTCTCAATAACTAAAACATTTTGATACTTCAAAACTTAAAAATGGAGCTTTATTATACTCACTTGTCAGTGGTTCTTTCTCTAAATTGGAATCTTCTGGGGCATCAAAACGACCTACTGGTAACTTTGGCTTCTTAATGGATTGTTTGATAGGTTCAGACTTTCCCCCTTGCGAACTTGCTTTTCTCAAAGAGTGACACACATGGGGTGATCCTAGCAGAGTGAAGACAGGGAACAAACAGGAACTTCATTTTTTCTACTTTAAAAATTTAGTAACCTACTAATTTTTTGTTTACATATTCACATTTCATCAAAGTTCAAAAAATACAACAAAAGGTCATACAGTGAAAATTCTCCCCTTTTGATGTGGAATTACCCCAAATGCCCCCAAAAAGATGATTAGGTCAAGAAGATGTGGTACAGATACATAGTGGAATATTACTCAGCAATCAAAAGACAAACATATGCCTTTTGCAGCAACATGGATAGAGCTGGAAAGGATCATGCTTAGGAAATAAGCCAGAAAGAAAAAGAAAAATACTGGATGGTTTCACTCATAGCCAGAGCATAAGAGATTGGATCAGAAAAAATAAAAGCAATTTTAATAAAGTAAAAATGAAAAACAACGAACAACTACTATAAACCAGAGACATTCTATGAGGGTAGAGAGGGGTTAAGATCAAAACTGGGGCAGGAAGTGTGCACAGGACTATGGTGACGGCACATGGGTGAACTGGTGGTGGGAAGTCTACAGGGATTACTACTGAGATGAAAAAATGTACAAAATGAAGAAAGATGCAAGTAAATAAATATATTTAAATTAAAAAAACCTTCCTTCTTTTCCCTAGTTTTTGGTCATTTCCCTTTCTTGAAGGCAACCAGTGTGATCAGTTTGAAAAGAAGAGATCTGAAATAAGTTAACCACTATCAAAATTGCACAAAGTTATATATATAAAATATTGATTACCGTCGGAAGCAATGCTGAAAATATTAGGAATCAGATCATTAAGAATAAATAAATAGTCTGAAGTTTTCAGTGATAATATTTAGTATTAACATTTCTGGATGTCACAAGCGACTGAATTCTTATATTTAAGTTATAATGACAATGCTCTTTTCCTGCCAACTAGACATTTAAAAAAATGTAACTGGGCATCTCCAATGTATAAATGAGATAACTTTTCTCTAGGTTATAAAGAAAAAGCTAAATCAACCATTGGTTGAAATAATATTCAGCAAGAGCTGAATATCCCATCAATATCCCACTGTGAGAAAATAAAAATGAGTTCAGGACAGGGACGTCCTACAGGAATGCTTCAGAGGCAGAAAGAGCTGGGTACCGTTTTCCTGCTGCCAACAGAATCATGATCAAAGGTCAGAATCCAATAACCAGAACCTATGAATAAGACAGGTTACAATGCCAAAAATATTAAGGTAGCAGGTGGGATTCATCTTGTTAATCAGATGACCTGCAACTAGGAAGATTATTTTAGATTATCTAAGTGGGAATACTGTTATCACATGAATTCATCAAAGGGTAAGAGAGAACCACAGAGAGATGGCAGCATGAGACAGGTTTGACTGATACTAGCAAAAGGTGAAGTTGAAAGGGGAAGGAAACAAGATTCTTCCCAGAGCCTCTAGAAGGAACACAGTCCTAACACCTTGATTTCAGCCCTGAGAGATCCATTTCAGACTTGCAAACTCCAAAATTGTAAGATGTTTCGCATCTTACAAGTTTGAGGAAATTTATTGTAGAAGTAACAGGAAACTCATACAAACACTAGTAGTTTGACCTTTTGTCAAGCATTATATATAATTCGTATATTAATATAGGTACTTTAATCATATTCTAGACTTCATCCCTATGTCACCCTACCCCATGTTTTAAAAATTTAATTATACATACACACATACAAATTTTGTTTGTTGATATACATATGCCTCTGCATATGTATACATACCACTCTCAACTTGGAATTTATATAAGATTTGGTTTTAAGATTATATAAGTTAGCATTACTCACTGTTAGCAACTAGTTAGCAACTAGACGTTGTTTAGTATTACTAGACAAACTGTTTTAACAATATCAAACGGCACATCAGGATGTTTATTTGCACATTTACTGCACTTAACTCAGTGACTAGAAAATCTGTTGAATGAGTGCTCAAATGGAATTGGAAATTAGCATTGTCCCTCAGCCAAGAACCCACAAAATATAAGGATTAAAAAACATATAAATACATAATTGAGTATTTTAATAAAGCTATGACAATGATATGTAGAATTAATAAAGTTTTCTTGTATATGCTCATTATATAAAACACTTCATATTTATGGTACTAATTGGCTGAAGAAAGTTTTGTGGATCAATAAAAATCTCAATATATACTAAAAACACTTATCTAAACTTTTTGCGTATTTATTGATTTAGAATACAGTTCATTTTGCCTTCAACTTCACCCTTCAATATCTAAGGGCATAGTTTAGTTTTTATATGTCCTCATAATACTTAAACATACACCAAAAGGCAAAAGAGAAAAATCCAGCAGTAGTGTCATATAGCAGTTATTTTTATTTAGAAACTAAATAGAAAACACAGTAATCTGATTCTTATTGTACATATAGTTCATATAGTAATCTGATGTTGGTTTGTTGTGGCTGAATATTTTCAAAAATATATTGAAAATTTTAGTGAATATAAACTATATACAATTGAAGGATTTTCTCAGTTGAGATCATAGGATTTTTATCAATTAGTTATTTGCTATCTGAAATACAGGATTCTTTAGAATGTGATATTATATCCTTACTTAGAAAGTCCAGCCTCTACAATAGAAATATCTGTCCATTATTTAATGTATAACTATCCATCAACAAATCTATTACCAATATGTAAAGCATACTAATTGGTTTGCTAAGTCATAATAGTTCATTAATAATTAATACAGATATATAAAAAGAATTTTAACTACAAATTAGCTTCTACATGTGAAGATACAACTTAATCTGCTTTGAAGACAATTTTTTGCATTTGGCTATGAATTACTTCTATTATATTGTACATTAAGTAAGTAACTTTGAAATAAAAATTAGTAAGTATTTACTAGCCACCACTACTGTGCACATAATCTTGACTCAATGCAATAAAATTAACACTTCACATTTTATGTTTGGTTGGTTTTTGCAAATTAATTAAAAAAAACACCTAATGGAAAGCATGAAATGATAAAAAGTAATGCTGGTATGTTTCAAAACTGCAGAAATTCCTAGCATAATGAAAGTCATAAAATTAACAAAAAAATATACCCCAACCTACAAAATACAAAATCTGAAGTTAAAAATGTTACCTCTTAAGATGCAGATGACTAATTATAAATAATAAAAATAACAAATATGTGTTAGATGTTTATGATGTGCCAGGCACTATTCTAGGGGATGAAAAGACGTGACTTTAAACCTCATAATAATCTGATGATGACAGTATAACAATTGCTACTTTACAGTATGTCTGTTCAATATGAACAAAATCACATGTGGTAGACTGAAAATGTCTCAGGTAGCCACTTTTTCCTTCTTCCAGTTTAGCTCTAGAACCCCTGCCTCCTCCTTGGAAGACAAACAGTTACATGTCCGAGTTTTGACCAATGGGAAGTAACATGCACATTTTAGGTCACTTCAATTTTGCAAGAGGCTGACTGTCCTGGGTTTCTTTTCCCATTCTCTTGGGAATGGGCAATATGGGCATGGGAGCAATCCAGCCTCAACTACAAAATGAGATGATACAACAAATATTTGTTTATTTTAGTTTTTTTAGTTTTTTTTTTCTTTTTAAAGATTTATTTATTTATGCATACAAGAGCTAGGATGCAGGCCAGAGAATGGCTGCGGGGTGACCCGAGTAGCGTAGGGCGCAGAACAGGCAGATCCACTGAAATACAGTGCTGAAGAGAGCAGCAGGAAGTGTCAGGAGAGGTCTGCCACACCATCTGGATCACCTCCCTGTCTGGGGATAGAACTCCAGTGGCTATAGATTCATAATGTTGTGCTTTAACCCCTTGTGCCACCAGGAAGGCCTCAAATATTTATTTAATCATAATTTTAAAGTGAGGACCATTAAAGGACAAAGACAGGAATCTTCATATATGGGAGGAACAAAACTTCAAGTAAAATAAAATAAAATAAAAAAAACCCAAGAAACAACACATTTAGATATAAAGTAAAATGAAGAACCTCCAACATCAAAGAAAGACCTAAAAAGAAAAAAAAACAGATTACTAATAAAGGAACAAGCATTAGGCAGGCAGAGGCAGATGACTTTGCAAATAACTATAATGAAGTCAGAAACCATCTTTCAAAAACAAGAAATAAATTAGTTTTCCAGATTAAAAATAAAACATGTAAAAATGAGATGCTTTATCATAAGACTGTCACCAAGAACATTACTAAGGAATGTGATTTAAGAAAGTGATCCCAAAAGTGTGAGATAAGAAGGTATGGAGAGAAAATAAAGGTATGGATAGAAAATACCATACATCAGTGGTATAAGACAATAGCAACACTGATTTGTGGGGTTAACAAAACCACATTCCTACTCAGCGCACATGAACACACACACACACACACACACACACACACGGGCCCTCCATGGTAGTGCAACCTCTGCAGTGAGTTTGCACCCTGGCCCTGAATGTGACCCACATGGTGCGGCGGACCTCTCCTCTCTTGTCCACTGCTCCCCTTAGCAGTGTACTTTGTTCATCTGATGCCTGTTGTGCTCCCCACTGTTTCTGGTGAATCCTCTCATTGCCCCTGCACCTCTGGCCTGTACCCCAGTTCTGTATGCATAAATAAATAAATCTTTAAAAAGAATACACACACACACCCCTAATAGGTTGAGGAACAAAGGTAGAGAATAAATGCAAAAACACTTTTAAGCTGTGTACTGTTTAGGGGAGGGTAAATATATTCATTAATTTTTGGCTTCCTTAAGTATGCTTTTGAATTTCAAGAGTAAATAATAAAAGACAATGCATATCTTCTGAATCTCCAGCATTAAAAAAAAAAAAAAGGAAACCTTTTAATTCAAACAAAGCATAACAAATACAAGATACAAAAAATTAAGATGGTCGGGAAAGTCAATTATAGCAGTAATTTTAATAACTGTAAACGCACTGTACTCTCCAATGAAAAGGTATAGACTTTCAGAAAACAGACTAATAATAAAGTCTAGCCACTTGCTCTTTACATGAGAAGCCCTATTACCATGTTATATATAAAAAAGGACTAATATTATGTATTGAAGGTCTGTGTACCCCCACTATTCATGTTAAAATTCTAACTCCTAATTGATAATATTGGGAAGTGTGGCCTTGGAAGGTAATCAGGTCATAGGTGCTGAGTCCATGAAGGGATTAGTGCTCTTCTAAGAAAAGGTAAGAAAGCCAGAAAGCTCTGGCTTTCTGTTCTCTACCACTTGAGGATACAACAATACAGGTATCTGCAATCAGGAAGCAGATTGGCACCTTGATATTGAACTTTTCAACCACCTAACTTCCAGGACTCTTAGAAATAAATATTTGATGTTTTAACTACCAGCTCAATTTATTTTGGCAGCTTGAACTAAGACGGTAAGATGCACCACTTCCATTTTATTTTTTTTTTCTTAAAAGGGGACAAAAACAAAACACTGAAAAGGACACAAGTAAAATACATAAAAATGACAGGATCAACCAAAAGTTATTCTCTTGGGAGACTAAAGGTACTTGTGAAATGCTTGTTAAAGACAGCAAGAACAACAGAAGGCATATGATATAAATGAGGAAAGGAATACATAATTATATAGAGAGCAGAAATGTGAAAAACAAAACCCCAACAACTCAGTAACTTTATACTTATATTCTATGAAGCACAAAATGAGTAATTTTCTAGAAAAAAATTTATTCCTCAAAATTGATTTAAACCTAAAAAAAGAAAAACTTGTTATGCTACAATAATCATTACAGAAATTAGACTAGTAATTTTAAAACTTTCTTTAAAGAGCACATTTAAGTAATTTTACAGGTGAGTTATACCAAATAATTGAGGAATGAATAATTTCAATATAACAATAAAGGGGGACAAGATAAGAAGATATTATTCAGATTTATTTCAGGAGGCTAGGCTAACTTTAATGCTAACTTAGTTAAAAACTTTACTGGAAATTGTAAAAGAAGATTAGTACAGCTACTAGATAAACAGCACATCCAACCCAATGTTCCATCACAAAAATATAACTACCATGATCAATTTGTATATTTTCTAGGAATAAAAGAATTACTTAGCACTAGAAAATTCTGTAATTCACCAACTAACCAGATTAAAGAAGATAATGATATAAACATTCCAAGATGAAGGAAAAAAGATTTATGTTTAAAATTTATTGAATCTTAAAAAAAAGACAAATACATAAAGAAACCAAAAATTTTAGAACAGCAGGAAACTTCCTTAATCTGATAAAGGGCACACCTACAACTAATAATCACACACTTGATAAAATATGAACCCATTCCTTTTATAATCACCAATATGATTATGTCTGCTGCCACTACTTCAGATAACATGACAGTGGAAGTAAGAGCATAGATACAACAACCAGCGAAAAGAAAAGAATCAGGATTTGAAAGAAAGAATTTTTGTTATTGGCAGATGGGAACAACCCTGCCAAAATCTGCAAGTAAATTAATAAAACAATTTCATTAGCTTACTGGATACAAAATCAATAAATAAGTCAAATGTGTTTCTCTATATAAGCAATAATAAGAATGTGACAGTTAAAAATATCAAACAGGGCCCTCCCTGGTGGCGCAGCGGGTTAAAGCACAGCACTGAGAATCTGAAGCCACTTCCGCATGAGTTCGATTCCCGCCTGCCGCCTGCCCCGGAGGAGACCACATGGCGAGCCAGACCTCTCCTGACCCGCCCGCTGCTCCCCTCAGCAGTGTACTTCGTCAATCTGCCTGTTCTGCTCCCCACTCTGTCTCTGGTGAAGCCTCTCACCGTCCCTGAGCCTCTGACCTGTACCCCAGTTCTGTATGAATAAATAAATAAATCTTTAAAAAAAAAAAAAATATCAAACAGTACTAATCAAAAATCTTAAGAGGAACTTTGGGTGGACTTAGCCCAACTAAAACCAGATTTATTACAAAAATACAGTTATTAAAACATGTGGTATCACCATAGGGGTTGACGAATAGATCAGCTGAACTGAAAATAAATAAATCTATACATCAAGAATAAGTAGCCTTGATTCATAACAGCTGCCAATGTATCAGTAGGGAAAAGGTACAATACACAAACCTGGGCCAACTGGTTGATGGTAAGGGAAAAAAATGAAATTCACACTATACATGAAAATTCCTGGTAACATAAAGAATTACATATAAAAAGCAAAGGCATATAACTTTGATAAGAAAATCAAGAACATCATAATGTTTTTAGGTAGGCAAAGCTTTCTTAGATGGGACCACAAAGCACTGGCCATAAACAAAAGGATCAAGATAAGATTACAATAAAATTTTGAGTTATCTGTTCATCAAAAGACATCTTTCTTCTGATGCTGTGTGACTGTACATGCAGATACATTATTCTATTCTACTTTTGGGGTTAAAAAAAGATTTTATTTATTTTGTAGAAGGAGCTGGGTTTTAGGAAAGAGGTGCAGGGGGTGGGAGGGCTCACCAGAGACAGAGTGGGGAACAGAATGGGCAGATCTACAGAAATACACTGCTGAGGGGAGCAGCTAGTGAGACCAGAGAGGTCTGTTGTACACATGGGGTAGCTTCCAGGATGGGACAGAACTTGTGTTGCAGTGGCTAGTCATAGCTTGATAGTACTGACTTTTAACCCCTGTGCCACCTGGGAGGTCCTGGAATTTTCTTTTTTAAAGACACCATAGAGTGACAAAAATGGCCCACAAATGGAGATATCTGCCACTTAGATAACTAAAAAAGACTTGGTATTCAAATACATATAGTAATATAAACAAATTTTTGATAAGCGTGATGGATAAACATATGATGGGGAAAGGACATTATCTTCAATAGATGGTGTTGGCAAAACTATATCCACATGCAAAAGAAAGAAACTGGAATCTACCTTATACCATTATATTCATATAGACTTGTATATATGAATGTAAGTGAATGGACAATCTATTAAGAAAATAAAGAGGTTTTTTTAAAAAAGCGAATATTTGAAGAGAATTTAGTAAGAGAAAAGCTAAATCACAATAAGCTAAGAAGCTAACTCACCACCTATAGGCAGACAAAAATAAAATTTTCTGACAATATTGAATGTTGGCATGTAAGTGGAGTGACAAAAACTCCAATATATTGCGGGCAGAAGTATAAACTGTTGGTAGGAATAGGTTATTTACAACTTGGTATCAGATTGTAAAGTTCAACAGGCCCATACAGTATGCTCCAAAAATTCATCGATTGCACAAGAGTTCTTACAAATAGACAAAAATGCACAGTAGCCAATCCTGGCTTTTATACAATTACCAAAATGTTCACTGGGAGAATGGAAAATCTATGATATAACCACACAGCTGAAAGCATAACTACAAACTCACATATAGATATGGATCAATATCAAAACACAGTGTTAGCTGAAGAAAGGAAACAAATACAAATTGTATGAAAGCTATTTATATAAAAGTTAAAACAAAAGTTAAAGTTAGACAATGGCCTCAGGACACAGTACTCAAGTTGCAATTTGGCAGAGGAAATGTTAGTTGGGGGCACCACAGGACCCCCAAACCTTGTATATTCTACATAAGTTCTGCCATCTCTTGCATAAAGACAAGAGTATTCTAGCCGTGCTTAAAACTTTTAAGAGAAAAGAACTTTAGTTGAATTAGTGTGCAATAGTGACAAAGAAGAAGGATGTAATTTCCCAACGAAGCACCCAAAATTCCCCATCCCCTCATGGGTAAATGCCCAGCCAAACAGGGGCTGGCCCAAAGTGAGGTCACTGAGACCCAAAAGCTAGCAACAAACCTAAGGCATCTTTCGGCAGGGAACCAGAGGAAAGGGCAGAAGGAGCCAGGCAAGCCTGGAAGAGCAAAAATCAAAATACAAATTAAGATAAAGGATGACAATTATCCTCCCTAGAGGTGAGGATGCTCACTTCTCTTTAAGTGTCTCCTTCCATGTCCCCCAAGACCCTCGCACAAGTCCAAGGAGAGAAGCAAACGAGCTGCTTCTTCACAAGTCTCTCTGCTTCATGTGCCTCCTCAAAGTGTTCTCCCCAAGTCCTCCCTGCCATCCTTTTTAGCTTCCTCGCCACCCTTCAAGGGGGTGGGGGTGGGGACAGGATGGGAACATGGAACTGTTACAGAAATAATCTGTCCATTAAGTGAGAGAAGGGGGATCATAAATGTTGCTTTATAACTAATACCTTATATAAACTCCCGTTACCAAATAGTTCTTAAGTTTTTAATACCAGTGGAAAAGGGAAGCTAAATAACAAAATTTTAAACAACGTTTACGTTGGAGTTCAGGTAACTAGGGACTTTCACTTTTTATTACTCACTTCTAACTCATTAAGGGCTTTTTTCCCCCCCAATAGGCTTGCAGTGGGGGAAGAAGAAGGCAAAGGCTACACAATGATGGACAAATCGCAAAGAAATCTGAGGCGTAGTAATTCGGTTTTCAATTTACACACTTAATTTCTCCAGGATGAACGACATTAAAACTGTACGGCACGATGAAGTCAAAGTCTCCAATAACATTGAGAAAGAGGAGCATCAAGGGGCAAGTGCGCCCTGCCAATTCCTAACACTCCTGAACGCCTGCGGTGCTCCGAGGCCCGAGCAGTGCCCGGACGGAAGCCGCAACCCCAGCTGGGAGGATTTTAGGATCTTCCATTTGTGAACCCACCCGGAGATCTCCGGCGGTGCAGGGACAAGCCCCGGGCCACGGCGTCGGACGCTGAGCCCGAGCGAAAAGATCGGCCAAACGCGCGCCCAGGGAATTCAGGGGTTTGCCCTTCCCCGGCGTTTCTCACAGCGCCCGTAACTCCGTAACCAGCCCGCGGCGCTGACCCCAACAGCCCGCGCCTTACTTGCCGCTCTCCACGCAGCTGCCGGGACGAGGCCTAACAGCACAGAAAGTCGCGACGCTGTCATGGCGGCGGCGCCGGCAGTGCTTGGTACGGGCCTAGGACCCAAAGGGAGCCACCCGCGGCGTCTCCAGCTCGCCTCATCGTGTGGGCGGGGCCTGCGTGTGACGGGGCGGGGCCCCGGAGGGTGGGCGGGGCCTCCCGCCTCTGGAACCGCCGTAGGAATCCGAGAAGCTAGTTCAGACTGCATATAGGAAAATGAGGGGCAGGAGTGGCTAAACCTTCTTACCAAGAACACCGCTGCTCTGATCCCCAGACATAACATTATTGCTGATGTCCAATGAGGGAATAATTATATTCCTCTCAATCTAAGGCGAAGTGTCCTGGAAGATGTATTTCATAGTATAAAAATTGAGCACCCTTTCTCTTTTGTGAGAATAAGAAGGCTTTCTCCTTAGTTCTTTTACTTCTAAAACTTTTCTTTTCAGTGAATTCCTCATTCATCAGTTTTGATTCATTGACCAAATGACCTGAAAGATGTTATTATTGTGTGAAGAGCCAGAGAAGGCGCTTCAAGCTCTGCTGAAAACAGTTTTAAACTCCAATAGCTTCAATGTGTTCAACTCATATGTGGCAGATCAGTTGATTTTTATATAACTTATGGCAGTCTTTACAGAAAAGTGGACGTTCCTAGAATTCTTTTTTTTAAGATTTATCTATATTTTCATACAGAACTGGGGTACAGGCCAGAGATGGGGAGGGTGAGAGGATTGACCAGAGACAGGAGCAGAACAGGCAGATCAGTGAAGTACACTGCTGAGGGGAGCAGCGGGTGAGTCAGGAGAGGTCTGCCACGCCATGTGGACTCCTCCGGGGCAGGCGGGGATCTAACTAACGCGGAAGTGTCCTAAGCGTCTAGGTGCTGTGCTTTAACCCACTGCGCCACCAGGGAGGGCCCTCCTAGAATTGTCTTTTTTTAAAAAGATGAAACCTTTTAAGAAACGTTCCGGTGTAGCTCTTGGATTCTGGTCATGCCTGGGTATAATGACATCTGGAAACTGCGATCCTAATTTGTCATCACCAAGCAAGAGTAATGTCCACCTCGGCATTATTTTCACGAAAATCAAGCTGTATATACAGAGCATAGCAAGAGCCAAAACCCAGTCACATTAGTGGGTAACTCAATGATTTTGGCTCTTAGCTCCTGTCAAATGTTTAATGATGAGTTCCTTATGACCATGTAACTATTATAAGTAGTTTGATTTGCAACCTGCTTGACCAACCCTATTGCAGAAGGGTTCTTCCTCAGTACAAGGTTACTTTTTTATTTACGCTGTCCAGCATATTGTGTATATACATGTGTGTGTGATTTAAAATAATTAACATTTATTCTTTCAGTTTTTGTGGGTTAGGAATTCAGGAGCCGGAGTGCACCAGACACTAGGTCTTAAATGAGGCTGTAGTCAAATTTTATAGGGCTCATCTAGGGGAGGATGCATGTCTAAACTCACCAACATAATTATGGATAGGATTTAGTTTCTTGTGGGGTTTTGCACTGGAGGCCTCCCTAAATTTCTTGTTATATAATCGTCCCCAAAGGTCATGTTACAACCTAGCAGCTAGTTTTCAACTGAAACAAGTGAGAGAAAAAGAAAGACTGCTCAAGATGGAAACCAGACTCTATATCATAAGTGCCATTCTATCGCTTTTGCTGTATTGTCATTAGAAGTGAAGCAGTAAGCTCAGCCCTCTCATAATTACACAAGTAAGTGATGAATACCAGCAGTTGAGGATCAGTGAGGCCATTTTAGAGGTTACCTACTAAAGTGACTCATTCTCTCATCACAGACAACTTCCTTTTCTCATCACAGCCTTTTGCTCAGTGGTTCCACTAATAAGTAGGCCTGGTGGCATGGAAACTTAAATTTTTAATCTAGTGTTTTCCCTTTGCTAAGACTGACAAGCAACACTAATTGCAGTGACCCATCTGATCCCTTGACATAATACAGCATTATGTAGGCCTGCACAGCAGGCTTGATTACAATGGAATCTATAGTGTTGGTATTTTATAGGAATAGATAATTATTATAGGCGTGGATTGCTTTCCTTGACTTATATTTCTTTTATATACTCCATCTACAGACTTATTGAATATTTTCTTAATCAAATAGCCCACTGTCTTTTGTCAGCATCCATGAAATCATAGCATATGAGTTTGGAAGCAGGATAAAATCTTCAGTCTCCACCATCCACATCATTTCCAGTTCTGTTGGCCTACCAAGTTTTGCATCCAGGAGGAGGTACAAAGGGGTAGAATATTTTTCTGAATTTGAAGTTAGGATTGCCATCTGGCCATTTTTACCTCGTTCTCCTGGGTTCAAAAAAAGTGGTTATGGTTCTAGCTGGAGTAAATGACCCTGAATGGGGGTGGGATATAGGAGCAGAGAGAGAGAAGTACTAGAACTCAGGGGTCTCATCTCCTGGAATACCTCTTCACAGTACCATTTGGAATTGTAAAAATTTAGCAGACTATTGCAACTATGTAAATACAGGACTATCCAAAGTCTCAAGACTTTTGGGTCACCAACTGGGCAAAGAAATTTGATCAGTTGAGGTGGTGACTGAATGCAAGGAAAAAGAGTAAGTGAAAGTGGTGATGTCATAACCATCTAGACTCATGGCCACTGACAGAATTGGAGAAATGTATTTACTGTAAATTTTGGTTTTGTATTTTTAGTCAGAAAATTTGAGGCAGTAAAACATGCTGCTGCTCACCTCTTTCTCCTGGAAATTCTGATTCAGTTGGTATGTCATAGGAACTGGGAATTTGTATTTGTTATCCTAACCAAGGATGCTTGCAAAGCACTGCCCTAGCTGTAATTTTTACCTCACTGGCTCATGCCACACACAATTAATGAGTTTCTATTTTCTTCCTCATTGTGTACTATTATTGTATATGTGGTAGTGGTGGTTAGGTCACAGTTGTTATAGGTTGCAAACTATTGAGATGAGATTATGATAGAGTCACAGGAGAAACACACATCACGCTGAGATGCTGTACTTGAAGCTAGATGAGGAAAAGGTTGTGTTAGGGGATAGCATTTTTAATGTGTAATTATGGGAAGAAAGGTATATTTAGATATTGTAAGGACAAAGAAATGGGTTACACTAGACCTCTGATGTTTTTATAGTTGGTGCTTACTTATCAAACTCATTTCAAATTTGGTGAATCCAAATAGTCTCATTTTCTACTGTGGAAGGTGTGGTCAGATAATACTTGATTTTGATGCCTGATAGTCGAGTGTGGCATAAGACCAAACTTGTTCAGATGGACATTTCCACTAGATAACGAATATGGAATGAGTGATACAAATAAGCAGTGCTTGGAATTCAGTTTTTAGAGGCATACCTGCTAGCTGAAAGGATATGCAAACCTCTAGTTCTTCTAGAAGTCAGAACTTGGCTACAGCTTTGATCATCTACTTTCTTTTGACTTGTTGTCCAAACATTGTTCTACATCCAGCCTTTCCACTGATAATGTGAATTATTTAATTTTCTCCCAAAAATATTTTTCTGTTTAAGTTCACCATAATTTTCTTGTCTGCAACAAACTATAACTATAAAGTAATTCATATACTTTAATGAAAATCATTTTCTAAAAGTTAATTATATGGTTTCAGATAATCACTTCTCTCTTTCCAAAGCTCATGCAATGTTTAATTTGGAGGATAGTGTATGATAGTTTCTCTGGTAAGTAAGAAGTTAAATCTGTCAAGATTTTAAATCATGAACATAGCTGAGCTTTTAAATATGTTCCAAAATAACCAAGAACCAGTCAGCCAACTATGACCTGAAATACTATTTGCATGATTATTAGTGAGAACAGATACCTAAAAAAGGACCCTTTGATAAATTTGGAAGATTATTCAAACTTAGAATAAATATAGTATTTCAAACCAAGGACCAAAATACATTAAGATGAAAAATGTGTGTGGCAAAAATACATGATAGATAATGCACATATTTATATTTTCGGCTTTAATGCACTTAGCATGTGTTATTGCTTAGTTAAGTCATTGAATTTTCAAGTAATTTTTAAATTGTAAAGAATTATGGAGCACAATCAATGAAATACTTTTTAGCTACTTAATATATGCAAAAGTGTAACTTATGAAAATATTTTATAAAGCCTATAAACTATACAATCATCTTAGTCTATAGAGTAATTAATAGTCTATTCAATTATAAATAAAAACATTGCTTCTAGTATTCTGAAAATAAGCAAGTGTTTTAGTTGTTCCTCCAGACAGTCATTTGTTCATTTATTAACATCAGAGGCAATAACACAATGCTAAAAATAAACATGCATCAATTATACAATATATACTTACAAAAACCTTCTGTCCATCACAAATGGCATATGCAAACAGACTTTCTATACACTATTAGTGCATTATTTTCACAAGTAAAACAGGAAAGAAAAATAGTGAATTAATGCTATTCAGCACCTTTAGTAAAGTCAAAGACTTAACAACTCCATATATCAAAAACATTTGCAACTATATCACCAAACGTGTAAAGTTAGTTATTTTGTTCCATCTTTAACATGAATTATTTTATTTACATCACTCTTTTTAAGGTCAACAAATTTTAACAATATTTAAAAATTATCTAAATTCATAAAAGTATTTCATAAATTTCAACATCTAATTATTATGTACTTACAAGGAAATTCATGAAAAAAGTTAAAGAAATGTAGTCAGAAAATTCAAGCAACATTACCAAATTTAGCAAAATTCCAACAAAATCAAGGCAGGAGCATTCAAACATTCAAAAATCTCTAGATGCTGCTAACATGAACATGAAAAGTTCCAGTAATAAAAGTCAACATGAGAAATAATGTTGAAGTCACCGGTAGAAAATATATTTTAATATGCATGACACATTAAATAGCAACAGTAATAATGATTTTGTTTTATAGAAAACTTTTATAACATTGTCATATATGAACTACATGGTTTTACAGGGCTAAAGAAGTTATTTCAAAAAATATATTTCAGCAGCCACAATTTTATTTCCAGTTTAAACATAGTAAAATGTTAAAAGTAAAATTTATAATTGACTAA